TTGCTTCACTTTCAAAATAAATAACGTCTGTATAGCAGCGCAACATTCACCTCCTTAGACAGTGTGGACTAAATTTAAGTTGAGGACCCACCCTCTGTGCGGCTTTGGTTGGCATACGTAGACACGTGACCAGCCGCAACCAGGGTACCTTTTCGAGGGAGGAAGAGAGAGGACCCTGGGAACGAGGTTGAAACCAACTTTGAGAAATTGAACATTACGTCAGGGTGAACATATTTACGTCATCAGCAATAGCAATGTTCATTGCTTAACACGGATGTTGACACGTAACATTTCATGTTGAATTATCAACTTGAAAGTCGAATTCTCAAGTTGAATTTTGGCGGGATTGGTGCACCTTTGGTGACTCAACATTCGACTTGGAGATTCAAACTTCATCTTTCGCTGACAGCCCATGTGTCAAGATCATTGCTGACATGTTAACATGAATGTTGATGGATAAAGTTGAACGTTGAACTGTTAGTTTGAAAGTTGATGTTTAAAGTTTGAATGATTGTGATACAAAGTACAAAGTTGAAGAGCGAAATATGATGTTGATGTTTGTCAAGTTAATTGTTAGACTGTCAAGTTGAATGTCGTGATCAACTTTGATTATTGGCGGGGATGGAACTCCATAGGTGTAGGGATGGAAAGTTTGCGCGCCCAATTTAACCGCTTATAACTTCTTCAATATTTAAATGAAAGCCGTTAAACGTTGCGCAGTTATCAGAACTGTGTATTTGTTGTTTCCATGGCAACCATATTGCAACAAACACACTTTTCAGTTTTGGAGTTTTGTGGTATCCATTAGCAAAATTCAACTTTCATGCCGGTTAATAGTTTCGTTTTCGAGACGTCTTTTTTTTTTTTTTTTTTTGGCTTTATTGATATTGATTGCTTTGGAGTCATTTTTGCTGGTTTCTTGACGTTCTGGAAAAAAAATCCAAGACAGCGGATTCAAATGGTGGCTGTTTGGAGAACATGACATAATTACCATGTGATATGACGTCATCATGCCATCTTGCATGCGATGATGTACTGTTTATTCCCTCCAAGTCTCATCACTTCGTGTACAGTCTTAATGTATAACCAAAGTGGTAAGGGTTTAAAGAATTTATGGAATTCATTATAGATTTAATCAAATTAGTTTACGAGTGCAAATAATCCATAACTGTTTCTCGGACAGACTGAATTCGTAGACAAATCAGACGAAACATCCGATAACTGCAAATCTTAGTGCTCTTAAAGTGGCAAGGAGGGAAAAATGATTATGTCTTACAAACATCTTATGATGATGCCCTTAATCTGTTTTCTGTTTCTTTTGATAGGCACTTTTCGAGTGATGATGAGCACCCCAGCAGGCTTAGAGGAAGTAATTAAATATGCAGACTTTAAGAAAGAAACGATAGTAGAAGACGTGGACGATGATTCAACTCTAGAGGATGAACCGGATGAAGAGGACTTGAAAGACATGATTTTTGGAAAGATCACACTTAACGCGAGCCAGATAATTGTCCTACCAAATGGTGAGCTGATTTTTCTTTTCCTCTACAGTTTTTTTTTTTTTTCAACTTAGATTCTAGGTCTACTTTACTCAGTGGTTGATAGAATGCTTGAGAAACATATACAGTGAGGACAAATTGAAAGAAAGTTTTAATTTGGAAGCGTTGTTTTCTTTTGGCTCTTCACAGCAGGGGTAAAGTATATATCAGTTGAACTTTACTGCAACCACCACCCTGGAACATTTAAATAAGGCTCACCCCTATTTATAGCTAAATGAGAGTAGTTTCTCAAGATAAGAGGAAATTCGATATGGAGGACGCATGAAATTAATCTTAACAAACCATGTCATCTTCTGTAGCAAGATGGAAGCAGATGGCCGTCATAGATAATTGATTTTTGACTACATTTGCAGCATAAACACCTGAATTATTTTTTACCGTTATTTACAGTTTACAGGTAATGCTTTCTAAAAGTTCTATCTTGTTGACATCATGCGACTCTTCGTAACACACCAAATTGCACATAATTTTGAAACACTTGCAAGCCTGAGTTAAGGTGCCTTTATGATTAAATTCTCGATATTCGTTTTTTTTTATTTTTTCGTACACAATGTCTTTCGCAGATATCTTGCCAAATTTCGATCTATTACGAACATTAGAACTCGCGGTTTTTGGACCTTTATTTCCGAGAATTTACGGCCGTCAGTAATTTTCCTTGTTCCAAGTCTTGGTTGAGAATTTGAGAATATGATGTCATTTTCTCAAAAATACCGCACAGGTTGAAATTATAATAACCATTAATTAGGAAAATTGCACGAATGTATGAGCCAAAGTTTTTGTTATTCTTTATGCGAATTGCTGTGCTAATTGTTACTATAATCTCAACCCGTGTGGTGTTTTTGAGGAAATGACGTCATTTTATCAAATTTTCAACCAAGACTTGGAACAAGGAAAATTAGTGGCGGCTGTAAATTCTCGGAAATAAAGGTCCAAAAAACATGAGTTCTAATGTTCGTAATATAGATTGAAATTTGCCAAGATATCTAGGAAAGACCTACTGTGTACGAAAATGTAGAATATTGGGTATCGAGAATTTGATCATAGTGGCACTTTAAGGTGCATATATATAGCCACCGTGCAGCGGCAAAGATTCTTTTCTTTTTAGTAGTATTTGTATGCGAAACAAACCAAATATATGGGGAAGGAGGATCTTTTTCGTTGAATGTAAGCAGCTGAATTAAAATATAGTCAGAATGTAGAGGAGAACTAGATTCGATAATAAGCTGTCTCAAGGCCATTTGTTGAGTTTTCTTAATATGGATGAAATTTTGTTATTGATTTCCAGTGTATAAGTGTCTTGGGCACACGTACGAGATTGGAAACTCCCTTGTTCACTCTTATTACCTGGTAATGGAGAAAAACTTTACAGTCCTCAAGACAGGAGACATTGTAGCGTCCAACGTGAGTGGTGGGTTCATCGAGACTGTTGTTGCAGTTCATAAAACCAACGACACGGGATACTTGGAAACAAAGTTTCTGCGATGCAACGAGAATTCTCAGTTGAATTCTACCAGGTATCGTGATGTTAAAATAACTTTGATCAGAAATAAATGTTAATGCTAAAATAATAATTTTTATTATTTAATGTTAAGAAACATGACAGTTCTGGAAAGTATTATAATACTTCTTAGAAGAAACACTTACAAGTACGCGATTTATATCTGGCAAAAGTGTAACATACAAAAGCATAAGCAAAATGGCACAAATTATGGCATACCTTCCCGATTGTTTCTCTCCAGCTCCCTCGTCTCTCCCTTTTTTTTGTGTACCTCGTACAAAGGATTTCAAGGTAAGCCCCACCTGAAGATGACACAACTAGTCACTTAAGTAGTACTCATTAAAGTATCGTCTGATCTGAATTGAAGAACGTTTGCCAATAATAACATGACTACCAAATTAACGAACCCTACGAAATGATTTGTTTGTTGTACTCTGCGCAATACCTTCTATGCAATGATTCCGACATTTTCGCAATTAAGTAAAAATAAAGAAAAACAATGTTGAAAAATCCACATGCTTCAAAAATGAATTAGTTATAGATGACGTGTACATCTACTTGCGGTCTGCGAGACCATACGGCTATGGACTACACGTTTACGTTTACAACAACAACAAGGCAATAATTAACAGACATACACAGTCATGTTATACTAACGAGACCTCAGTCAACGGAACTTCTTTAATTCCTCGTGTTATCTATCTTTAAACCAACCAGACTGAAGCAAAGTAGAAGGATATTTTCCCAGTCGGTGTTCTGTAGCGGAGGAGACAACAACCCTGGACTTGTGCTTTCAGCAGCGGAAGAAAGTGCTCAACATTTTGCAGTCAATGACTCAGTAGTAGGAAGACCAAGCCGTGGTTACATCGCAAAGGTATGTCTTAAGGAAAAATGTAAGTAGTACTTTGACTTTCATTTGCAATTAAGGTTACTTCCCACCTTCGCGGGTGCCCTTCAGGAAAAAATTCGTACGTGCGCCAGTTTCAATAAAACCTAAACAAACTATATATCAGTAGAAAGCTTAATAAATGTAGTTTTTGAGAAAAATATAATTTAAGTGACTTTTTCTTTTGGGAAGTGTCAGCAGCCGGTGAACCGTGAAACGACCGAGAGTTGTTCTCGTGAATTAATCGGGTATCGAATGCCGCGGCACGAGCAAAATGGCTGCACAGTCTTATTCAACAGGCATCAATCCAAAAAAACGGTGTCAGGCTTTTTCGATATTCTGATTGGTTGCCAAGATATCCTAGTCCAAAGTTGAAGAAGCTAAAAATATACGAGACGCGTTGCGTAAAT